GTATTTTTTGGGTTATTGCCAGTGAACAAGGTGGAGGACTTGATGAATGATCTGTGATTCATAATATGTTCCTCTTCCAGCAGTGATAAATACCAATTCCAACAACAAAATTCGACTCATCAAACGAGCCTTGAGTGTCCGGTTTAGTATGACTTGTAAGAATTTGAGGTACTCCTATTTCTTAAACACAAGGCACTTTATTATAAGTAAAATTGAACAAAAATTTCCCATTGTTTTATATTGCTACATAAAGACAGATATTGATAATATTTCACTTACTAATTTTCATATATATTATATCAAATTGCTCATTCTTATGATCTTAATCAAAGATAAGTGTTGGCCATTATCATAATCTTCTTTTGTTCCTTTTTAATATAAAGAAATCTGCTCTTGGAAAGAAATTATTCCAACCAAATGTGTATCTATTTGAGTTGTTCCATCTCGAGATGGTAATTATGCCACCAAACAATAACAAGAGGGACCAATTTTTGCACAAAGATACAATGTAAAATCCATACTGGTTTGATTGTCGGGTTAATTTCTTCTTCTTGTGCGAGTCGGACTAATAATTAGGCTGCTCGACCCTACCATAATTTCTTTGTTGCATACAAGGAAAAAAAAATGAGACAATGGAAATACGTGTAGCTCTATTAACAATAATAAAAATAAATAAATAAATAAATAAAACACAGCTTCAAAACTCTTCTTCTTTAGCTTATCTGTTTATGGATGCCATTTTTTAAGCTTACACTTTTTTTCAGCTGTCAAATAGGTTACAGTTGCAAAGTTACGGCAGGTGGCATCATCGACAGCAACTCAATCTCCTGCTGAGTTCTGCAGCGGGTTTCTGTATTCGAGCAAGAAAAAGAAAAAGAAAAAAAAAACAATTTTGAAAATGTGAGATAAGATCATTCAACGGATGCTCTTAAAAAATATGAGAATTTTAGACAAATACCAACAAGTACTTGTAATAAAGATTATCAACGCAAATCCAAACTATGGAACATTATCATGGCACGACATGAAACATGACACAAAAAGCATGAAACAAAAAAATTGGTTACATTTAGACTTACTATCACTCTTATGATTAGATAAAATAAATAGCAAGAGAACATAATAGTGAAACACGAGCACAAACAAACTGATGACTAACTGTATAAGTAATTTGTTGATACGTGTAATTTTCTCTGCTTCGACAGAGAGACTTGCTATTTTGGGGATAATGTTCACAAGTGAAATATATATATATAAGTCTTGAAACTCAAGAGACTAACATGGATCTGAGTCATAAATTTATCAGAAAATCCACGACAAAACAATTTACTGCTTTCGAGATTCTTACAACTCCAAGATCTGATTCTGAGCATTAATCCTATTGTAAAACTGAGTGAACCTTCTTCTACCAGCTGGCTTTGGCCTGACGGGTTTTTTCCGCAGACCAAATATCTCCTGCACCAAAGGCACATGAACAAGCACCAGCTTCCATGCCAAGAACCACCCTACACAAATCAAACCAAACACAAGCCGAGAAAAACAAAATCACATTTAGTGAAAAAAATGTTAAGAACAAGAGATTGGATAATAGCGCATAAGGTCCAGATAGCAGAGCTTCAAGATTCAATTTTTAAATACAGGGCCAAGCAACACAAAAAAACCCACCAATTGAGGAAAAAATCTACCCATCTGCAAATTATTTCAGCAACCCACATTACACGTAGCTAAAGGGTTCATGCTAATTTGGTTCACTTCAATTTACTTTCCAACAAAAAGAGGAAAAATTGAAGAGAAGTATACCCCAAAAATTAGACCTAATTTTCGATCCACGCAGTAAACACGCACTTTAGCAGGTGAAATTCCACCACAAACTCGCAATAATCGACTGAATCACAGCCATACGCGGGCTCACCGAATAAGAGGACGGAGATGCTAAAGACAACGGCGATAGTCGGACGGAGAAGAAGAAAAACAAAGTGATCCCAATACGAGGTGGAAACTGGGTCGCCGGAAAAAGGTTCCATCTCTGTAAATCCCGCCGATGAATGGTTGTTGGAAATTTTGAAACTCACAAAACACGATCAGGTATGGGTTTTTTTTTAATATAAATTAATTGAAAAATCGGATATCCCTCTCCTTCATAAGTTGTACTATATAATAAAGAGTTTCTTGAGAATCGAATTATGGGTGATTAGTGAAATACTGAAATTCTAGTGTTTTTGAGTAACCCGTATGGATTTAGATTTTTATCTATATCTATTAGGACTTTTAAAAGTATAAATTTTGTTGCCAACTTAAATCATAAATATGTTTTTAAGCTTCAGAATTTTTATTTGTTATCGACTTTTATATATAATAAATCAAATTAATAGTATTTTAACGAATTTTTATTTGACAACCACATCATTTAGGTTGAAAGTGATTCTTGCATCATAATCGGACAGACTTTTTAATGTCAAAAGGATACAATGATTGAAAAAATTTATACAAAATCGGGCAGACATTTCAATGTCTAATTTTTTTTTTTTTAAACGCAACGGCCAAAACATTAAAATANACTGAACACACAAAAAAAAAAAAATTAAACAGGGGCATTCCGAGAATTGAACTCGGGACCTCTCGCACCCTAAGCGAGAATCATACCACTAGACCAAATGCCCTTTTTTGTTAGGGTATGAACAGTTATTTATCTAATATATCATATAACGTAGATAAAGTTATTAAAACCATTTTTTTTCCTTCTCTATGGGGTTTTCTGTCCTCCAAATCGGAAACAGAAATTACCAGCGACAGAAATAGCAAGAAATGCTTTGCTCCATCTGCTTCGATCTCAATCATCATCAACAAGCTTCAGTTCAGGTTCATCTTCAACCCTAGCCCTTGTGATGCAGATTTTCGACGGAGATAATCGCCTTGTTCAATAAAATCTAGTTAGAAATGTGTTACTCCTGTGTGTGTATAATTTTTTCTTGTGATAGGAAAAGGGGAAAACTAATTGTACAGCTCCACACAACAAACAGTTTGTAAACTACGACAAGATCTACACAGCAGCTCTGAAATATGAAACATTGCTGCTGCCTGCTAACTTATCAGCTGTTCCTACAAACACAGCTTTAATTTTTTCTAATCTGCCCACAATTTCACTAATTCCAATCCTATCCAAAGGCGAATTCGCCAAACACTCCATTGCCAGACTCATAACAGAAGCCAAACATCGCTCTTTACCCGAGAAATTCAAATCCCCTGCTCCAAGAAAGCCCGGGTCCACAGCTTCGGCTATCGTGTTCGTGTCTAACGATAGTCTCACCCAACTCTTCAAACTCATATCATCACCGAAAATCTCGTCCGTCGGCCTTCTTTTCGTGCACATTTCCAAAAGCATTATGCCGAAACTGTAGATGTCACCACTCGTCGACACTATTCCTTGAGCTCCAAATTCTGCATTGAGTTCGAACAAAAATCTCCGAGAAATGAAAAAATAAAATAAAATAATAATAATAATAACGAAAGTTAGTAAGTTACCTGGCGCCATGTAACCGATTGTGGCTAAAGTCATCGTTTGAGCGATAAACTCCCCTTGGCCGAACAATTTAGCTATACCGAAATCGCTAACGTGTGGCGTCATGTCTTTGTCGAGCAAAACATTGCTCGGTTTCAAATCGCAATGAACGATGGGAAAATCGAGTCCCGTGTGAAGATACTCTAATGCCGAGGCTACATCTATTGCTATTTCCAACCTCAGCACAAGTTCCAAGAAGCAATTATCAGAATGCAGCCACTTTTCGAGACTTCCATTAGGCATATACTCCAAAACCAAAGCTTTGAAATCCAAATTACTGCAGCAGCCGAGGATCTTGATGAGATTTCTATGGCGTATGGCGCTCAAGACTTCGATTTCCCGGTCAAAGCTGTTGACCACTTTTTCGGAGTGCGAGTCAAAGACTTTGACCGCCACAGTTAAGCCGTCAGAAAGTGTTCCGATGTATACAGAACCGAAACTTCCACGTCCGAGAATGTTTTGCTCGCTAAAATCGTTTGTTGCGCGTAAAAGCTCCAAATAGGAACTCCCTCTCCATGTCTTGAGCAAAGAGGTCTCGTTTTCGGGCGTCTCCTTGCTCGTTTTACGCCTTCTCATTAGTAGAAAAATCGCTATAGCCAAAATGAGGGCTAATATGAAAGGAGGTAAAATGTATTTCATTTTCGCCAACTTTCCGGCTACATTCTTGGACTTTGACACTCCACACGGTCGAACGTCCAAACGAGCCGCCCCACATAGACCGTTATTATTCACAAACGACTGAGAAGTGAAGATCTTGAAATTTCCTCCCGAGGGAATTTCGCCTTCCAGTTCATTGTTCGACACGTTAAAGCGTCTAAGGAAGACGAGCTTTTCTAAAGATTTCGGAATAAATCCCGATAAGCTATTGTATGAAAGATCCAAACTTTCCACACCGCTCAACTCTCCAAGTGACTCGGGAATGGACCCTTGAAATCTATTATGAGCTAAAGACAGAAAAACCAAAGACTCGGCTTTTGCAATAGAGCTCGGGATTTGGCCAGTGAAATTATTCGACGACAAGTCCAAATCTCCGAGAGCCCTCAAATTCCCAACCTCGGACGGTAAAGAGCCGCTCAATCTATTAGTCGACAAGTTTAAGCGCAAGAGATCGTTAAGCTGCCATAAACTCGAAGGCACTTCATTTTCCAATCTGTTTGAATCCAAATACAATCCTCTCAAGGATTTCAAATCGCCAAAACAAGCGGGAATTTGGCCTTCGAGTTTATTGTGACTCACGTAAATGTCTCCCAATTTGCTCAATCGGCAAAGCTCACTTGGAATGTTCCCTTCGAGTTTGTTGTACTCGAGATAAATGCGTATAACTTGCTTTAAATTCCCAAGCGTGCTCGGGAGAGAACCCGTCAGCTCATTACTGTCCAAATACAAATCTCGTAAGTTAGTCAAATTTCCAATCTCAACTGGAATGGGACCTCTTATTCCGCACCCAAACGCTCGGAAAATCTGAAAGCTGTCGGAAAAATTTCCTATCGAAGCAGGAAGTTTACCGTTCAGCTGATTGAACGACACTTCTACTTCGAACAAATTCCGACTATTTGTAAGCGAGGTAAAAAATCCAAGTTCTTGATTTGGAGACCGCGTCCCAGTTAAATTATTTCCGCCAATCAAGAGGCGCTGTAAGAGGCTTAAGCTGCCGAAATCCGGCATTGGGCCCGAAAAAGCGTTTGAGCTCATACTCAAGATTGTCAGGCTTGATGCATTGGTGATGGAGCTCGGGATTGGGCCGCTGAGCCTGTTTTCGGACAAATAAAGCATCTGTAGGTTCGGGAGCGAAAGCCCGAAGGTCGAAGGGAGTGGGCCCGTGAAGTGATTGAATGAAAGCTCCATCATCTGCAATGAAGACATGTTGGATATGGAAAATGGGATTGGCCCGGATAACTGATTGCTGCGCAAGTTGATCTCGACTAGATTAAGTTTTCCGAGCTCGGCTGGTAATTCGCCTGTCGAGTTTTTGGAGATTTTATTGACCGAAAAAAAGGATGACGAGAAGATTCTAGAATGTTCATGACTTATGAGCTATAAATATACCTGTAAAGTTGTTATTAGCAATATACAAGTACTTTAAGTCTGTTAGATTCGCAATGTGCTTAGGTATGCCGCCCGTGAATTGGTTACCCCACAACGATATGACCGAGAGGCTTTTGCAGTTCGATAATTTGTCGAGAACTCGACCAGTGAGTAAATTGGACTGAAGAAAGAGCTGCTGGAGATTGGGAAGGTTAATGTAAGTATCATCTGGGAGACTTCCCGAGAGGCTGTTGTTGGCAAAATCGAGCATTTGCAGAGAAGACATGTTGAATACGAAAAATGGGATTTCGCCCGTTAGAGAGGCACCTCGCATGCTTAGGACCTGCAAGCGTGTGAGATTGCGTACGTCTAATGGAAATCCCCCTGAAAAAGATCGAATTTTCGTCGTGAAGCATAGTTTTTGCAAGAACTTGAACAAGAAATTTGTAACATTTGCTATTCAAATACTTCAAAGAAAGAAAAATTTTTACCCTCAAAGCTGTTTGTCCCGAAAAAGAATCTCTCTGCTTTGCTCAACCACCCGATCGATCTCGGCAGGCTGCCGTTAAAATGATTAAACGACAAAGATAAGTCGACTAGCTCACGACACTTGTAAATATCGAACGGTATTCGCCCCTCCAACATGTTTGCCGACAGATAAAGTCCGGTGATTGCCGGAATACCGTCGCATATATTCTTCGGCAGCTCGCCGGACAGGGCATTGCTCGTCAAATCGATTGACCAAACACCCGACAGGTTAAAAACGCCGCCCGGGATCTGACCGGAGAGCAAATTGTACTTCAGGTCGAGCCTCTCCATTGCCGTGAGGTTACCGATATCCGCCGGAATCTCGCCGGAGAGAAAATTGTACGCCAAGTTCAAATCTTTCAGCTTCGAACGGCCATCGCCGGACGGCCCGAGTGAGATTTCGCCGGAAAAATTGTTGTTGTTCAGATAAACGTACTCGAGCAGGGGCGATTTTGCCAGCCAGGACGGTAGTTTTCCGGCGAGGTCGTTGAACCCGAGATTTAAAAAACTCAGGTGACGGAGATTAGAGATCTCGTCCGGTATAGGGCCGGTGAAATTGTTCGAGCTGAGATCTAGCGAGCTGAGGAAAGTCAGGTTGCCGAGGTTTGGAGACAGAGTGCCTCGAAAACCGTAGCCGGAAAAATTGAGGGCGGTGATTCTTGAACCGGGGTCGCACGAGACGCCGGCCCACGAACAGACCGGAGACCGGTCGGACCAGTTTCGGGAGGTGACGTGTAAAGGGTCCGAGGTAATCGAGGCATTGAAGGCTACAAGCGATTCTTGATCGGAGTTCGAGGTCGGAAGAGATGATGCGGCGGCGGTTGATAGGATGAGAATGATTTGAATTGTGAAAAAGAATGGTTGTTTATCCATTATTTAAGAGTTGGAAAGTTGGTGTCTTTTTTTTTAAAAAAAAAAATGGATTAGTTGAGAGTTCAGAGAAGCTGTGTGTTTTTTTCTTCTGTTTGGT